GGAGCACTCTGCCAGGATGTACTCAGTAGAAGCTGTCAGCAGAGTGTATTCGGTGAACCGCTCTGCGGGTCCCCTGTGCTCGCGGGGATCACGCGGTTTATAATCCCTTCTCTTATCACCCGTTAGTCGAGGAGGGTCTGCGTCCTAGTGTCGCAGGGTGTTGGTCGGTCTGTGATTCCTCGGGTCGCGGGCTTTATTGGCCGCTTCCCTCTCCTCGTAGTCCATATAGGCCCTAGATTTTTCAAGGAGAGCATCGAAAGTCTAGGGTGGTTAGATGTCGACGGCCTTCCTGAACTCAGTGCCCAGGAGGAGTCCTCTCTCGAGCAAATATATTTTCATGTGACTGGTACACGGGACCTGAATGGCCTCGCGGTTGAAATGATCAATGTACTCCCTAAGGGTTTCGTCGCTTCTTTGGACGATAGCCTCAAGGACGGCCTCAGTCTTCGGATGTCGATGAGACGCTGTGAAAGACCTGATGAATTGGTTCTTGAGGTTTCTCCAGGAGGTTATCGACCCTGGGGAGAGATTCTTGTACCAGTCCATTGCAGTTTTGCTCAAGTTCATGGGGAACAACTGACATTCGACCGGTCCCCTGACACTGTGATAGTGGAGTATTGCCTCGAACCTATCGATATGGTCGATAGGGTCTGTAATTCCGTCACATTCCTTCAGTTGAGGAGGTTTCTCCATTCCCCTGAGAATGGGAGCCTCCATGATTGCTTGTGATAGGGGACCACAAGGGTCTTCTTCGTCGCTCTTGTAGGGAGAGTGGGAAGGGGATCAATTGTAATGGCGGTTGTAGTGATGACCTTGTCCTCGGAGAGGATCCCTTGGCCAAGGTTGTGTTTCTTGGTTGCCCCTATTTCTATTTTCAGGGGATCGTCGTTCCCTGCGCGGGGGGTGAGGCCGCGTCTCTCGGTAACTTCGGGCAGTGGTCTCTCTAAAGCGGGGCGCCTCCCAGTCCATCGGGGAGAGCGGCTTCGCGATCTATCTCGTTCGTGTCTCCACGGGGGAGACTGAGGACAGTCTTCGTTCCGACGAGGAGGTGGAGTATCAGGTCTCCTGTGTCTTCTAGGAGCTCGACGAGTATCCTCGAGCACCCTTAACCGCTTACCTTGTGAGAAGATTAAGTAATTTGTTTGGTTAATGACCGCGAACAGAGCCATGGTCGTGGCATCAGCACCTGCGGGGACGGGGACCTCCTAGAAAACATTAGGCTCGTGGTTTTAGGGCGGATGGGCATCCTCATGCGGCCGAGAGCGGGATGATGAAGAGGCGCTCATCCCGTCTATTTAGTTCTGCTCGAGATCAGCCATGCCGATGTCGTTCCCAGCGTTGTTGTTACCAATATCGTCGCAGACGTTGTTGTTGAGGTCGGCGGGATGGGAATTTAGGTTGTTGTTGGCAGCTGGGTTGGCCATGAAAATCACAAAATTTAATAATTGCTTTAGTCTTAGGTAAATAAAGACGGGGAAGCAAATATTCCCACAGAACGATGCCACTGGTCGTACCTGACCAGAATAGATTGTCAAAACCCACAAGCTATGAGTTGAGCAGTAGTTGAAGGTGAAGTGGGGGGGGGGGGGGGTACTTGCAAGACACTTCGATGCCAAAGTGAGGTTCAGAGCTTAATGCAAGTAAGAGAGTATAAGAATGTGAATGATTCAATACCTGACCCTCTCAAGTGAGAGGGTATTTATAGCCCCTAACATTGGGCCAAAGTCTTAAATGTTGGGCCACGATGAGGTCCAACAATGAAGACTGTCAAGGCTTACGTGTGTATGGAGTCCAGCATGTGGACTCCCTCCTGGTCAACTACCCCGGGAAAGCAGGAGCTGGACCCGTTATTCTCAGAGGACATGATGATGACGATAATATGGATACGTGAGTTACGTTCCCCAACGAACACATGGAGAGTTACCCAACGATCCCCAACTTGGACTGCTTGCCTTTGAACCTTATACAAAAGTGTGGATTGGGCCTCCCCAACGATGAAGCAAGCGCTGACCCAGTCCAGATCAATATCAAAGAAGAATTATCTTAAATATTTTATTACATAACAAATAATAAGAAGGCAAGAAGAATTATATTACCTGACCGTAGAAATGAAATTGCCCCTACAAATAAAACATAATCAATAATTAGTCAATAAACAAATAGAAATAGAGAGAAATAGACCAAAAAAAAATATGTTTAGCAAATAATAATAGACATGGAAATCAAAATAGAAAAAGAGAATGCATCAAAAATAAGGAAACATGTTGATATTGGTGCTTATAATTACATATGGAAATAGGTTAAGTAAGGTTTTATATGATCTGAGTTTGGCCTAAGATAAATTTAGGTTTAAGTGTAGCTTATGATCTACTATAGACTCATTTTTTAAATCTGGTACGACATTTTTAAAAGTTTAGTCTAATCTGAAAGTCTATTTAAAAATTTGTTTTTCATTAAAATTTTCAATAAATTCATATTACTTAAGAAGTCTTATTCGTCGTCATATATATGTATATATAGGCCGATCTATTTAACATTTTTTCTAATATATATGTATATATATCAACTTATTTAATAGCCTAAACTTGATCTATTTAATTAAATAAATTTTAAAAAAAATTAAACTTGATTTTTTTAATAAATAAATTTGGCCTCATCTAATCTTAAATAGATTAGATTTTAGGTGCCTGTAGACGGATCTAACCTATTTCGAGAAATGGAGAGAAGAGGATTGAGAAATTGTGGGGGAGTGTAGATTGATTGTGGCAAGTGTAAAATGACAATGGCAATGAGAAGTGGTTTTGAAAATTAGACAGTTAAGTAAAAAAATTAGAAATTTATTAGCCCACTTACTCCACTAAGTCATTTCTAATAACACAATTATTTACCTATTAATTAATTAAAAATGAAAATAATAATAATAATAATAATAATAATAATAATAATAATAATAATAATAATAATAATAATAATATTATTATTATTATAATGATTATTATTATTATTATTAAATTGAATATTATAAAATATTGGTGGAATTTTTTTTGTTGAGAAAACTTGTAAAATCAAATTTAGTAAGATAAGCTTTTTGCATTTTTGACTATTTATTATTTTTAATTAATAATAATTAAAGATAAATTATATGATTTTAATAAAAATGTGACAAGTATATAATTTCATCTTACACATATATAATTTTTTCTTATTTTTATTCTTTAAAAGATATTTAGATATATTTGTCATATTTTTATAAGAGAAAAATATAAACTATACCTATAAAAATATATCTAAATATTCTCCTTAAATAAAATAAATAATGACTCTTTTAAACCAATAATAAAGAAATAAGTACAAAATTATCCTTAAATTTAATTAAATAAATAATAAAGAAATAAGTAAATAATATAATTATAAAATCACCCTTAAATTTGACTCCAAAAGTTATGAGAAACTTAATTGACTATTTATTATTTTAGTTAATAATAATTAAATACAAACTATAATTAAATAAAACAAATAATGACTCTTTTATAACTTCCCATGAAACGTGGGGTTACATAAGATTTTTAAAATTTGAAGTTATAAAAGAATTTAATATGATCTATAAAAAAAAGAATTTAATATGAAAAAATAATAAGTGAAAAATAAAATATAATAATAATAATAATAATTGAAAAGGAAAATATAATTAAATAAATAAAAAAATAATAAAGAAATAAGTAAAGAATATAATTACAAAATTATTCTTAAATTTAATTAAATAAATAATTAAAAAAAAGTAAAGAATATAATTACAAAATCACTCTTAAATTTGGCTCCAAAAATTACTAAGAGATTTAACTACTTTTATATATATATATATATATATATATATATATATATATATATATATATATATATATATATATATATATATATATATATATATATATATATATATATATATATATATATATATATATATATATATATATATATATATATATATATATATATATATATATATATATATATATATATATATATATATATATATATATATATATATATATATATATATATATATATATATATATATATATATATATATATATAATTTTGAATGTTTTAAAAAAATTTGAAATTATAATTAATTTTATAAAAGATAAAAAAAATTATATATAACTTTATAATATTATTTTTTATTAATCATATAAAAAAGAGAAATTAAAAAAATTGAAAGAAGTGAAAATAATAAATAATAAAAAATACATTAAGAAAAAATTCACTAAAGTTGTAACGTAAATGATATTATAAAGGGAATTATAATTTGAAATAAATTTGTTTTCAAAGTAATTTATAATTTGGGATGTAGGAATATATTCTATTTTCTATATCCATCCATTTAAAAATGTGTGTTGTTAAAAGTATTTTTTTGTGGTGGCGTTGGACCACCTTCTGATGAAAAAAAAATATTGCTAAAATATTTGCACATAAATTCAAGAATGCAATAATATTTTTAAAATATAATAAATTTTTATTAAATTAATTTTATTAATGTGTTAAAAATAAACAACGTTCATTTTGGACAAAGGAAGTAATATTTCATATGCTTTTATCATAACTAATATATTTTTTTTTTTACTATATTATATTGGATTAAATATGTTTAAAATCTCTTTAAGTGTTTTTATTTTTTATCATTTTAAAAAATTCTGTTAAAAACTTGTCTTTTTAAAGTTAGGAATTTTAATTTTAGTCTCTCCTGTAATTTAACAACGATTTTTTTAATTTAGTAACTGAATGAGCGATTGGATTATCGACGATTTTAATAAAAGGGATTAAAAGTTAAAATTCCTAATTATAGAAGAATGATTCTTTAACGAAATTTTTTATAGGGACAAAAAATAAAAATATCTAACTTTAGAGAGGCTTAAACATATTTAACCCTATTATATATCTTCTTGTTTTTCTTAGTAACTAATGATTTATTTTATCTTTTCACCACAAATTTTGTTTAGTGGCTTGGAATCAGAACAAGTTTGCCATTACCATCAAGCTGGGAGTTATTTTGGCAATTACTAGTTTATTTTCTCATAGAAGATTATGCAAACTACTGGATCCACAGGATGCTACATTGTAAATGGGGCTATGAAAATATTCATAAAGTTCATCATGAATACAAAACACCTATTGGATTAGCAGCACCATATGCTCATTGGGCTGAGATTTGGATACTAGGTCTCCCTGCATTTCTTGGTCCAGTATTGGTTCCAGGACACATTATAACCTACTGGTTATGGTTCATTTTGCGTCAACTAGAAGCCATTGAGACACATAGTGGTTATGAATTTCCTTGGAGTTTCACAAAGTATATACCATTTTATGGAGGTCCTGCGTACCATGATTATCATCATTTTGTTGGTGGAACAAGTCAAGGAAACTTTGCTTCAGTGTTTACCTATTGTGATTACATTTATGGAACACAAAAGGTAACCTTCATCTTTTTAGTTATTTATTAATTATATTTTCAAGTTATTATATTTGTTTTTATTATACACTACTAACAAATATTTACTTATGTATTTGAAGGGCTATCAATATAAAAAGAGGATGTACAAGAAAATGTCCTAAATTTACAAGGCGGACTAGTTGTTTAATGCTCTCATAAGATGTTTTATATAATTGAGTGATTTTTTCTCTATATTATCATAATGTATGGTTATTTAGTTGAATAATTTAGCTAATTTGCTAATAATTGACATTTTATTGGATAGAACTTATGCTAAATATGTTCATTGAATAATATTACTTCTTTTAATGAGAAGCTAACATGATATATTACATTTTTTTTCTTCTAATTTACCAATTTTGTGTAACTCAAATTAATTTTGTTGATTTTAAGTCTTCACCTTTTTACTTACTCTCTCACGTTCCATGAGAATTTGAGGTAGAATTTGAGGTGGTTAGTCTTTTAATAAAACAAATTTTTCTGTTTGTCTTATTAATCAACTTGAAACTAGGACTTATTGGATTTTAAATATCTCAATGAAGAATTGTTGCCTTCAATATTTAAATTTGTACTGATATGTCTAAATGGTTTAAAACCATTTGGTGTCAACATGATCTGACTCATTCGCTCCAGAGCATACAGATTGAGATTTTGTTTGTTCAACATAAGCAACATCACATACATTGTATTTTTATAAAAACATTTATGGTCCACCGTAGGGCCTAATAAAACTATCTTAGGTCACACTGATTTCTTCAAATAGTCTTTATACTTCTTGGACATTGTTTCATAATGTTGGACATAAGACACACATCTAACTCTAGTGACGATGATGTGCTAACAAGGATGCAAGAAACCATGGATGAGATGTGTCGTCAAAATGAATCCTTTAAAATAATGTATTTAACATTCAATAACAACAACAATAGGAAGAGGATGCACAATAAAGCATAGAGGAGTTGGATCACCAACCTCTCTATACCAAAATCAGGGATATCATTGTCCTAGATAACTTTAAGATGTCTTTCTTGGTAATATTTGATAGAAAAAGCGATTTGTTAGAACATGTCACTACCATCAATACACAAATTTTGACGTGTGTTGTATCTCAAAATTTGCCCTCTTGATTTCAAATCCATTTGGCTTATTGCTTCACATTTAAATGCATCTATCTATCAGGTCATGACAATCACAATAATTCATTTCACTGATTTTCTAAGGGCACGAGATCAAGGGTTTCTTGTGATTTGGGTTTTCCCCATTTCAGGGGTGATTCATCTAGCTATCACACTCAAGTTCACACTCCAGTGAGTCAAGGATTGATTTATTATCATCATAATATTAATCATCAAAGGCACAAGGATCACTCCCTTCTTCAAGAAGGTTCAAGTGCTAGGTGTAACACCCCAAAAATTATAATTAATTATTTAATTTATTAATTATGATTTATATGGTGCTTACATGGTTTGATGATAATATGTGTTTGGTAGTGTCAGATTAAAGGAGTAATGAGAATTATTTTTAATTTAAATAATTTAGTTGCAATTATTTAGATTTAAGAATAATTATTTGAAAATATTTTATTAATTAAATAGACTAATATGTGTAGAGATATTAAGGTCAAGATGGTAATGTTGAGTGGAGTAAGTGAGGACAAAATAAGAATACCATAATAGGGGTCCAAGGGGTAAGAATGCAAAAAGGAAAATTGAGGATTGAAGTGTTTATTCTGTACGATCGTAACATTGGAGAAGAGGAAGCAAAAAGGAGAGAAAGAACTAGGACATGAAAGAATCCATTGGAGAAGCTTGGAAACCATCAATCTAAGATAAGGGTGGAGTTCCAACTTTCTAAGGGATGGTATAGTGATGGGTATGTCGAGATTTTGATTTCCATGGTTGTTGTGTAACTGTTCATGATTTTGTTCTCTTTTAGTGATTGAAAATATTTGATGAAAAATTGGTATGCGTGCACTTAAATTGGTGAAATTGGTGTTATAGAACGAATAAAAATATTGTGTAATATGTATGTATGAGTTATGAAATAGAAAGACATGATGTTGATTGCAAATATGGGGTTTTGGGGTTGAAAAGACCGATTTCCGTACTTAAAATAGTAGAAAAACTGATTATGGATAGTGGAAATTGATTACCCCTTTTTGGGAAATCGATTTCCAGTTCAAAAATTAAGAAAATTGGCCTCTGGAGTGGAGGAAATCAATTTTCTGAAAAGGGGTAATCGATTTTCGTCAGTTCTGACAATATTTTTTGTAAAACTTAAAAAATTCATAACTTGACCTTCGGGTGTCCGTTTGATGCACCGTTTGAACCTGGGAAAAGCTAATACAATATAATTTCTTGTAAAAATAGTTTCATGTTATGGAAATAAATTTAATTTTTGTGTAATGGGGTTTTGTAGTGTTAGTATATGATGTTGGTGTTTGCAAATTGTAAAAACTTCAAAATTTCATAACTTTTGTTTTGGGTGTCTGATTGACACATAGTTCGAATGGTTGGAAAACTAAGTTAACATGCTTTATCTTAAAAGTATATTTAGTACCAGAATTCCAACTATTTTACACGTGAACATGAGTTCGTTGGGTGTTGAGCTGAGTTATGTGGAATGTTACAAATGCATTGTAATACCATGATGTTGTGTTGTTGTAATATTGTGATATTGTGTTTTTGTTATTGAATATAACATGATGAGTTGATAATATGCTTGATAAATTATAATACCATGATGTTATGTTATTATAATATTGTGATATTGTGATATTGTCATTGAATATAATATGATGAGTTGATAATATGCTTGGTGAATTGTAATACCATGATGTTGTATTGTTGGTGTATGCAAATATGTTGTTACTATTTACTATATCATTTTATTTATATTACTACATGTTAGACATGTGTTGTTGCATGGTGATCTGTATTGGCGTGTTACATTGATGGATGTGGATATCAATGTATGGTAATTTGTTACATTGATGGGTGTGGATATTAATGTATGATATTTTATTGCATAATTATGGCACATGCATTCATGGTGAGGACTTTAGTTCTATTGGTGGTCTAGTTATAGATGACGTGGATCGAGATTAATATGAACCTAATTGTTCATGATATTGGTGGCTCTGGTCCTAGATGGTGTGGATCGGGAGCGATGTGAACCTAATTGTTCAAGATATTGGTGGTTCTGGTCCTAGATAGCGTGGATCAGGAGTGAGTGAACTTCATTGTTCATGAATGGTACCACATGCATTGAGTCTGTAAGTCGGTCTCATTGTATTAAATTGTCATTAACATAATAATTGAGTTGTGTGGTTTGTGTATGTATTACATGATAATTCAATGATATGTGTTTGTATAGCTAACATGTAATATGATTGTTGTTTGTTGTGTGAAGGTGTGAGGTATGGAATGTGTGACTATGGATGAATATATCTGCTATCTACTTATTATTATATATTTCTTTATATTATTGTGATATCTCACCCTTCTATTGGAATGATGTTTTATACGGTATCGTTGCAGATAGTCAGGAGTAGTCCGAGGCTACAATGGTCGGAAGAAATTTCTCTTTGTTTTATTTTGAGTTGATGTCATTTCTCTGATACGTAACACCAGGGGGTGAACGTTTAGTTATTTTGTTGGTTTTAATGAATTGTTTGGAGTCTTATGAACTCCGTAGTATTTGAATAAATGTTGACTTATTTTGGATGAGATTGATTTAATTTTAAATATGATTCTTTTTCCGCTGCTTAATTAAAGTTAAAGTTCAAGACTATGATATATTGTTTTTGGTTCATCCATAATTGTGTTATGTATCTTATACTTGTTATGAGCAGGTTTTGTATGTTTTGAAATATGTAGCATCCTAGTCGTATGTTGAATGTTTTAAAAATTACTTTAATTTTAATTATTATTCTTTGAGGGAATTTAGGGTGTTACATAGTGATATCATAGTAGGCCGGTTCATCCAGACAAGTTGTCTAATGTTGTTTGTTCCTTGGTACGCGACATGTGTGTGAAACATTGTCGGTACTTGGTTGTTTTTCTAACTACTTGGTTGCAGGAGTGGGTTTGAAGTAAGTGAAGGAGAAGCTTTGCTTCCCTGAGATGTTTCTAGTGTGAAGAGTTGGATCAGTATGCTATTGATTGCATGAGTGCAAATGTTGGTGAGACTATGTTGTTTCCCGATTTTGAAGTAAGTATAGATTCAAGATTTATGGTTAGCCGCTAGTTCGAAATGTCCTTAAGAGGGAATGATCAGATACTTTTGTTGTTTGCATCTCTAGGAGTGGAGGGCGATGTTATGGCTAATGATGTGCCAGTTTAGTGAGAGTCTTGATGTTTTCCCTGGGATGATTGTGACTTGTCACAGAGCAAGATGTTGGATTAACTTGATGTTATCCTTGGGGTGAATTGTTGAGAGTTAACCCAAGTGCTTACGAATTATTTTGATGAGTTGGTGCAAATTCTTATGCCTGAAGATAATATGGATTCGAGGTTTCTGTTTGTCGGTCAAGTATGGGATGTCTTTGAGGGAGAACGATCATGTATTGTTGATGTTTGCTTCTCAGAGAATATAGAGCATTTTGACGGCTAGCGATATGCCAATGATGTGTAGTTCCTGATGTTTTTCCTCGAGATATTTGAAACTTGCCTCTAGAGTGAGAAATTGATGATTTTGTATGTGGCATGATTGATGAATTGGGTGTGATGTCGACATCTTGAGTGATGATAGAGTGATGAATTGTTATGAACTTTTTTTGTTGGAACCATGTAGGTGATTATTGAATGTTGTTAATGTTGTTGGGTATTTGTGAATCGCGAGTCCGAGTCGGAACTCAAAGATATGAGTAGTCTTGTGAGAATAATTGGAGTTTTGATGTTTTGAAAACTGAAGTTATGGCAAATTAATGGGTCTTTCGAGTTATAAGAAGAATAAGGTTTGGGATGATAAGAAAAGTGATTTTTGTGTCGAAAAGCAGCAGAAAAGTGCTTATGCACTACACGTAACCAATTACTAGTATTTGGGTACACAGGTACACTATAAAACAGTACCGTGGATGGGATGTTTTGAGGGGTGTAACCGGTTACCGCTGTTAAGGTAA